GGGGAGAAGGGGGAGGGGAGGGAGGAAAGAGAAGGGGGAAGGGGGGAAGAGAGAAGGGGGGAGAGGGAGAAAAAGAGGGAGGGACGAATATCGAAAAGGCGAGGGAGGGAAGAAGATCGAGAGGGGGAAGTCTGGGAGGAGGAGAAGGAGGAGGAGGAGGAGGAGGAGGAGGAGGAGGAGGAGGAGGAGGAGGAGGAGGAGGAGGAGGAGGAGGAGGGAGGAGGAGGGAGGAGGGAGGAGGGAGGAGGGAGGGAGGGAGGGAGGGAGGGAGGGAGGGAGGGAGGGAGGGAGGGAGGGAGGGAGGGAGGGAGGGAGGGAGGGAAGGAATGGAGGGAGGGGGGAGGGCCGAAGGAAGGAAAGGAGAAAGGGACAAAGAAAAGGAAGAGAAAAAGAGAGAGATGTAAACATGGAAAATGCAATAGTTTGGTAATAAAAATCCCCTTGCCTCTAATCACGCCAGCCCAATCTCCTCCGTCACGAGCGCCCCCCGTGGCCTGACCTTCGTCTGCGACCGCCGAAACCAAGCTACATCTTAATTAAATTCAATTCCAACTAATCCACAGAAACGAACCGGTCATTTATCAGCCATGAAACCCGCATTCCCACGACGGCGAACAGAGCAGGGACCGAGGGACTGAGGAAGACGAGGACCGGATATGCCAGGCGAGAGAGAGACCCGACCGGCAGACCGCAGGGAGATTAGGTCAAGGTGTAAGACGAGCCGAGCAGGTCAGGTCAAGCCGGACGGGAGGACAAAGACGACGGGGCGGCACACAACACTTCATTCTCGGTTCGGCGACGCGACGTCTTTTCCGCAAGCAATCGAACAGCGCACAGGAATCCGCCGGGGCCTTCGCTATCAACACAGCTGTCACAGCGAGAGCGCCTCGCCGCCCCTTGGCAGTGTTGCCGTTACGAGACTGCCGGCGGCGCTGACATAGGAAGGTTAGACGTTATCATCACACTCACCTCCGCGGGATCATAGCACAGGGAGGCAGCGACCTTTCATGGAGCATCGCGTGTTAACGCACAGTTCATGTTCGCTCTTCGTTGTTGTTTTTTCCAATTTATTTCTTTTTCGGGGCCTCATTACAACTTTACCCGAACTTAATGACATTTTCAGCTGATTTTTACATCATGCGACAGTACCAGACCCACAGCCTGACATCCATTACTCCTCAAGTTCGCAAGCAGATACAACCGCCCGCGCCCTCCTCCACACTCGGCCACATTGCCTCATACTCCACATACCGCGCCGCATTTGCCCCTCGCCCTCAAGCTACAACACCGACCCAGCATTAACCCGCACTCAAGCGCTCCCGCCACTGCGCCCTCAACACAAAAAAAGAAAAAAGAAAAAAAATAGAGTAATTATAAAAAAAAAGAATTTAAAACAGAAAAGAGTAGAATAAAATAAAATAAAAAAAGAAAACAGCCGCGGTCTCCCCCGCCGAAATAAAACTCGTTAGAACGGGGAGAAGCCTCCGCCATCATTCACTGCATCGCGACGGCCGAGTTAAGACCTAACTGTCTCGGCCGTGAATGGAGGCATTCAGAGCGAGCGAGCATTCCTACTGCCGCCGCAACTCACGTATTCACAAGCCAAACACACGACTCGCTCTAAAAGTGTAAAGGATATAGAGAGGAGAGAGGGGGAAAAAGAGAGAAAAAGGCTCGGCGCGTCAAGATGAAAAACCCGGACCACTGTTGGCGGATGATCTTGGTGTTGCGCCGCGAACACCACGGATTCCAGGTCGGGGGCTATGGAGGACGGGATTAAGGGGGGGGGGGGAGCTGAGGAATAGAAAGGGGGAGGGGGAAAGGGAGAGTGAGAGGGAGGGGGAGAAGGAGGAAGGTAGAAGAAGAGGGAGAGGGAGAGGGAGAGGAGAGGGAGAGGGAGAGGGAGAGGGAGAGGGAGAGGGAGAGGGAGAGGGAGGGGGAAGAGAGGGAGGAAGGGAGAGGGAGAGGGAGGGGGGAGAGAGGGAGGAAGGGAGAGGGAGAGGGAGAGGGAGAGGGAGAGGGAGAGAGAGAGGGAGGGAGGGAGGGAGGGAGAGAGGGAGAGAGGGAGGGAGGGAGAGAGAGAGAGAGAGAGAGAGAGAGAGAGAGAGAGAGAGAGAGAGAGAGAGAGAGAGAGAGAGAGAGAGAGAGAGAGAGAGAGAGAGAGAGGAGAGGGAGAGGGGGAGAGAGAGAGAGAGAGAGAGGAGAGGGAGAGGGGGAGGGGGAGAGAGAGAGAGAGAGAGAGAGAGAGAGAGAGAGAGAGAGAGAGAGAGAGAGAGAGAGAGAGAGAGAGAGAGAGAGAGAGAGAGAGAGACAGAGAGAGACAGAGAGAGACAGAGAGAGACAGAGAGAGACAGAGAGAGACAGAGACAGAGACAGAGACAGAGACAGAGACAGAGACAGAGACAGAGACAGAGACAGACAGACAGATAGACAGACCGACAGACAGACAGACAGACAGACACAGAGAGAGAGACAGACAGAGAGAAAGAGAGGTAGGGAGAAAAGAGTGGCCGGGAGTGAGCTTTTGAGAAATTCCAATTAATCGGCAGCACCTGCACGGCCGATTCTGGAGGCGATATATACCCGTGCGACTGCGGCGGTGCCCGTATGACCCCAATGTTGGTATTGGTACGCCGTGACTCAGCCAACGGAAACGCTGCGGGCCAGGCAACCATTTCCTTAATCCTCGCTCTCCCCGACCTGTGCAAGCCTGAACGCATACCTTGGCTTGGTTCTCAACAAGAAACAGAAACCCAATTAATATAAAAAAAAGAAGAAAAAAAAAAAAATAGGAGGTTATCCCACTCGGAAATATCGCAACAACCCGCCCCGGAAACTCGGGGGAAATCTACGCTCGTGTGAGAGGACTTCGCGGGGGGGAAATAAAAAAGTTTATACATATTTAGGCCGTTAGATAGGCCTACGCGGAGTCCAGACAAGGCGAAGGAAGTGTATAACTAGGCCTGGGAGATCCGCACTGACTATGCCTCAGCTCCGGAGAGATTAAGAGACTTAGTAAGTGCTCGTGTTTAAGCCGACGGGGATCGAGCGGCATCGTCGGGGGACCGAGAGAGTCTCAGGTGGGTCGAGTCCTCCTTTGGCCGAGGACGAGGGCCTGCGAGGACCAAGGAGGACCTTAATTGTTAATTAATTGTTGACCTGAGAATCCAGTAGGAAAAAAGGGAAGTAATCCATGGATTCAAGTGAAGGAAGCGGGCCGTTGCAATGAAATGGAAAGTCTACATCGAAATCGGAAAGATATTGGACAGTGGTGGGAAAATAATGATGATTATGATAATGATGATGATGATGATGATAATGATAATGATAATTATGATGGTGATGATGATGATGATGATGATGATGATGATGATGATGATGATGATGATGATGATGATGATGATGATGATGATGATGAAAATAAAAATAAAAATAAAATAAAAATAAAAATAAAAATAAAAACAAAAATGAAAATGAAAATAAAAAAAAATGAAGATGGAGAAGATGGAGATGATGGAGTTGATGGAGATGGAGATGGCGGAGATGGAAATGGAGATGGAAATGGAGATGGAGATGATGAAGATGGAAATGGCAATGGAGATGGCAATGGCGCTGGGGATGGCAGATGAAGATGGATATTACGATGGAGATGGAAATGATGAAGATGGAAATGGAGATGGAGATGGAGATGATGGATATTGAGATGGAGATGGAGATGGAGATGAAGCTGATGCCGATGACGGTGATATTATTCTGAAGGGAAGGAGGGAAGGAGGGAAGGGAGGGAGGAGGGAAGTAGAGAAGGAGGAAGGGGAAGGGAGGGACACAATGAAGGAGGGGAGAGAAGCACAAGAGAGGAGGGGCGGCTTTCGGCAGGGAGAGACCGAATTAACCTCTCATCACACCACACGTAACGCCATGCAGCCAAGCAAGGGCGGTCATGCGGTCAGGCGGGAGGTCCGCTCAAAACGCGCACCGCTGAGATAACATGCCAAACTCTCGTTGTTCATGCACAGCACGGTGGAAAACACAGCCTGTCACAGAGCGCGCCCATTCCTTGCCTCCGTTCCTCCTCCACCCCCTCCCTCCACCCCCGCCTCGCCCCCTCCACCCGCTCCACCCGCTCCACTGTAGATAGGGCGGCCGTACGGAATTCATATCCACCACAGGCCGAGGCATTCTGGATCATACAAATACTTCGCTGGAATGGACACGCTTTTACAAAGTCCCCTTAACTGCAGCGCCGAAGTCCGAAGAGAAAACAGCAACAGCATTCCCACACAACACAAAGGCCCGCCAGTCCCTGCAGCTTTATGCAACCCACATACCTTCCACATTGCAGAACTCAACAGCAGACAGACCATCTTATCTGCCTCAACTCCCCCCCCTCATCTCCAACTCACCTCGCGCCCCCTTTTCGACTCCTATTCCCCTTCCCGTTGACCACTCCCACTCTCTCCATCTCTCCCCCCTACCTCTACCCCTACCCCTTCCCCTATCTCTCCCCTCTCCCCACCCCTACCACTCCCCTCCCCCTAACCCTTTCCCCTACCCTCCCCTCTTCTCTCTTTCCCCTCTCCTCTCCTCTCCTCTCTACCCTGCACCCTGACCCCCCTTCCCTTGCCGCCCCCCCATCCCTGTCCCCTCTATGATAAGCAGCGTATCGCATGACCATTATCAAGCCCGAGCTCCGCGGGTATGGAACGGCGCCAAGTCATCAGCATTGGGAGGACCCCATTCCAGGAGAAACATTGGCCCGTGCAAACGCTCTGATGAACTCTTAAGTGATCCGTAATCCTCTCCTAACGGGACTCGTCAAGTGGAAGGGAGTCGGTTAAATACGTCTCAATTAGATGTAATTATCCCTTGCGTGTAGATAGGAGGGTGCATCGCAAATTCCTTCCGATGCCAGCGTGCCTTCGTTCGAGCAGGAAAGCACGTCCTTTGAGGGCAAGAGCGATTCCAGCTTCGCCCTTACAAGCAGCTCTCTCTCTCTCTCTCTCTCTCTCTCTCTCTCTCTCTCTCTCTCTCTCTCTCTCTCTCTCTCTCTCTCTCTCTCTCTCTCTCTCTCTCTCTCTCTCCGCCCGAGAAAAAAAATAAACAACAGCTGGGAACACTCGCCACACACGCGCTATAACCCATAAATCATCAAAAGAAAAGAAGAATGGTCAAATTTCCAACAGCTTTGAACTAGAAAGAGAGAGAAAAAAAAACGCGGCAGGGGGCAGGAGAGAGAGAGAAAGTGAGAGGAGAGAGGAGAGAGGAGAGAGGGAGATTTGCTTCCTTGCCTGCCTGCCTGCCTGCCTGCCTGCCTGCCTGCCTGCCTGCCTGCCTGCCTGCCTGCCTGCCTGCCTGCCTGCCTGCCTGCCTGCCTGCCTGCCTGCCTGCCTGCCTGCCTGCCTACCTGCCTGCCTGCCTGCCTGCCTGCCTGCCTGCCTGCCTGCCGCCCATCGCACTCGCCCGCCCCGCGTCTCCTCCGGCAGCCGAGACCATCATCGCCGGAGCAAACGCAGCAGACTCTCACGTATCGCTTCTCCCACCCAGATGGGGAAGAGCCGCTCGAGTCCGGCGATGCATCGTTATTCTCGCAGGATAATCACCCGCGCTACGATCGTGGAAACTGCCTGGCGCGCTACTAGGATTTTCTTCTTCTTCTTCTTCTTCTTCTTCTTCTTCTTCTTCTTCTTCTTCTTCTTCTTCTTCTTCTTCTTCTTCTTCTTCTTCTACTTTTTCTTCTTCTGACTCTTTCTTCCTTCTTCAGCTTTTCTGTTATTTTCTCGTTGTCGTTCTCTCTTTTTTCTCTTTTTCTTTCCTTTTTCTCTCCTACTTTATTTCTTTCCATCTCTCCTCCACTCCACTTTTCACACCTCTCCTTTTCCTCTCCCTTCCATCCCTCTTTCATTTTATCTGGGTGCTATACATTTATTTTCTTTTTCCGTTCCAAATTTCCCTCTTTTTCTTTTAATTTCTTCTTCTTTTCTTTCCATTTCTCCTTCTCCTTCTTCTTCTCTTCCCA